TTAGAACACTCCCTCACACCATCTACAAAAATAAACTCAAAATGGATTAAAGACCTAAATGTAAGGCCAGACACTATGAAACTCTTAGAGGAAAACACAGGCAGAACACTCTGTGACATAAATCACAGCAAGATCCTTTTTGACCCACCTCCTAGAGAAATCGAAATGAAAACAAAAATAAACAAATGGGAGATAATGAAACTTAACAGCTTTTGCACAGCAAAGGAAACCATAAACAAGATGAAAAGACAACCCTCAGAATGGGAGAAATTATTTGCAACGAAGCAACTGACAAAGGATTAATCTCCTAAATATGCAAGCAGCTCAATATCAAAAAAACAAACAACCCAATCCAAAAATGGGCAGAAGACCTAAATAGACATTTCTCCAAGGAAGATATACAGATTGACAGCAAACACATGAAAGGATGCTCAACCTTACTAATCATCAGAGAAATGCAAATCAAAACTACAATGAGGTATCACCTCACACCGGTCAGAAAGGCCATCATCAAAAAATCTACAAACAATAAATGCTGGAGAGGGTGTGGAGAAAAGGGAGCCCTCTTGCACTGTTGGTGGGAATGTAAATTGATACAGCCACTATTGAGAACAGAATGGAGGTTCCTTAAAAATCTAAAAATAGAACTACCATATGACCCAGCAATCTCATTACTGGGCATATACCTTGAGAAAACGATAATTCACAAAGAGACATGTATCACAATGTTCGCTGCAGCACTATTTACAATAGCCAGCATATGGAAGCAACCGAAGTGTCCATCGACATAAATGGATAGAGAAGATGTGGCACATATATACAATGGAATATTACTCAGCCATAAAAAGTAATGAAATTGAACTATTTGTAGTGAGGTGGATGGACCTAGAGTCTGTCATACAGAGTGAAGTAAGTTAGAAAGAGGAAAAACAAATACCATATGCTAATATATATATATATGGAATCTAAAAAAAAAACATTCTGATGAACCTAGGGGCAGGTCAGGAATAAAGACATAGACGTAGAGAATGGATTTGAGGACACAGGGAGGGGGAAGGGTAAACTGGGACAAAGTGAGAGAGTGGCATGGATATATATACACTACCAAATAAAAAATATAGCTAGTGGGAAGCGGCTACATAGCACAGGGAGATCAGCTTGGTGCTTTGTGACCACCTAGAGGGGTGGGAGGGAGGGGATATGAGGATATATGTATACATATATAGCTGATTCACTTTGTTGTACAGCAGAAACTAACACAACATTGTAAAGCAATTATATTCCCAGAAAGATGTTAAAAAAAAAGCTGATGCTCAGAGGTTAAATGATGTGCCATAAGTTAACCAGCTGCTAAATGGAAGAGACTAATTTAGACTCCTAAGCCTTCCTGAACAGTTTTAAAAAATGGGTTGCCATCTGTTAGCACTTTGCTGAGTTCATGCTAATTATCACTATCCTACTGTCCTTCTACTAGGGTCCTCCTCCCAAAAATAGTTTTCAGCTTTGCTTAGGATGCCCTCAGAGCTCCGAGGAAGATGCCTCATAGATTGCATAAACAATGGTATATTTTCAGCCTCTGTCAAAATTTAAACTGCCTGAGGATCCCATTCATTTTTGTTCTTTTTAAATATTGAGGTTCCATCTTAGATTTCACTTGAATAGAAAAAGAATAAACACAGAGCAGGACACTATACCACAATTTAAATGAATGTCTTTCATCTTTCTCCCATGCTGACTCTGCCTACAGGGCTCTTAATCCTCCAGATGAAGCTGAACGTTTCCTTTTATTTATTTATTTTTTACTTTGTATCCAGATATTTGGGGGATAATTAAGAATATTTCCTCAAATCTGGCTTCATTTCCTGAATGACTCAACACCCTTAAAACGAAAGCAATGAGAAAGCATACCTTTAAAGAATGACTAGACAAGAAAGTAATTGTCAAGTAGGGAATTAAATAATTCTGCCAGGAAATAAGGTATCCTTGTTATGCCTTTTAGTACACATATGTTCTACATTGATGGCCTTACTCTGAAAAGTTGGGCAAATCTCTTTCTGAGACTCTAAGATCTCAATGGGAAAATGGCTATAACACTAACCTTTCAGATGCTGTGATGCTGAATGGGATAAAATATGTCATGATATAAATTTGCAAGACCAAATTTTGCTGTGCAGGAAATGTATTTTTTTTTAGATCAACTTAAATCTTCTCCAAGCGTCCACCTAGCAGGCTGGTGTGAAATTCAAGTACAGCCACCTCTAGAGATCTTCCTCCTCTCCTTTCATTATGCTGCACCTGTCAAAGCACCAAAGACCCCTCCAGACATCTGCCCACCCTGGGTGCCAAGAAGACATTCACTGTCTCTGCAGGTCTGGTGGCTGTGCTCTGTCTTGGCACTCTTGGGGCACAGATTGTCAAAGAAACAAAATACTCTGACGTTTGTTATGATGGTAAGGCAGACTTCATCCAGGACTGTTGGGACTGGTGTAGGAATTACCACAATGGGGTTTTGCAGTAGGGGTGAGAGATTGGGCTCAGCTCCAAATATGATAAAGAAAAGTGGGGATTTATAGCCAAGGAGAAGAGTGGGGAGAGGGGTTGGTGGATGGAAAGTTACTAAGACAGAAGGGTAATTCTTGCTGAACTGACCTAACTGGATTCTTACTGAAGGCCAGCCAGGGTGCTTAGATATTACCAGCAGGATGATGGCAGATAATGAACTGGGGCAGATACTGAAGGTGACCCGATTTCAAAAGCGGAGCATTCTGGCTAAAACTGGACTCTACAAGGACAGAGACAGTAGCCCAAGTTTGGGCCTAGTCGAGCAGAGGGTTCAGAGGAGCCCGACTAAAATGTGGTCCAGGAGAGAGTCTTTGTCAAGATTACTACAGAGAATTAGAGTCCTGTAAGTGGGGTCCACCTTCCTATATGTATTTGGAAGCCATCTCCTGAGACCACCTTCACAGAGGGGGCCACAGTGCTGGGCTCATACCTACACCCTTCCCCAGGGTGGGGGCGGGGAGGTGGAGGACAGCCAGCATCATCTTTTAAGGACTGAACTGTTTATAAGAACCATGAAGAGGTGTTCTTGTTTCTGGCCCTGCCACGAACCTCCCGGGGGTAAAGAGAACGAAACGTGGCTAGACATGGAGGAAGAGCGGTAAAATTGTACACGACAAAGCACAAAATAGTACCTCAATAAAACCCCCTGCTCCATATGTACCGTATCTAGTTCTGGGTCCATCCCACAGCAGGAGCTCAAGAAGAGCTATGTTCACTCTGCTGTGGGTAGTCAATCTCTCTGGTTACTAATTTTCAAAATTCTGTTTTGTTTTAGGTAGCAACACAGCCTCTCTTCTAAGGAAAGCTTGTAGAGAAGTCCCATTTGTTTGGAAAGAAAGAAAGAACAAAAGGACAGAGTTTCTGCAAGGGTGAGCCCAAGCTCCCTCCTCACAAGAAGCCCTAGAGCTCCTAGGGCACATGTGGAAGCTGCTGCCTTCAGTCAGGGGCTGTTGCATTTCTCCAGCGCCTAGTACCATGTAGAATACCCAGAAAACAGTGCTTTATAAACATCTCCATCATATTTCACTGGATTTAAGACATATCAATTATAACATGCCATTATTTTCTATTTTCAGATAATAAAAAACAGTCAAATAAACCATGACATGCCACTGATTATGAAACATATACGTATTTCAGCTCTGTTAAAAAGATATGTGCTTTAGAATGGTTGAAATTCAGTAATGCAATGACTTTTTAAGCAGTGAAGGAAAACGCAATCCAAAGCAAGTAAAGTATTTAAGGAATATTGTTTAGATTTTCCTGGGTTTTTGTTTTTTTTTTTTTGCTGTACGTGGGCGTCTCACTGTTGTGGCCTCTACCGTTGTGAAGCACAGGCTCCAGACGCACAGGCTCAGCGGCCATGGCTCACGGGCCCAGCCGCTCCGCGGCATGTGGGATCTTCCCGGACCAGGGCACGAACCCGTGTCCCCTGCGTCGGCAGGCGGACTCTCAACCACTGCGCCACCAGGGAAGCCCCAGATTTTCCTGTTTTAATTGACAATCTTGTCCATGCTTTGATGATCAAATGACACCTTTTTTTTTTTTTATAACTGTGTAGAAGAGGGATAAAGTGTGAAGTGTAAAGAGTATATGAGACTGCAGAAAATCTGAAAAATTAATTTGGAAAAGTAGGTGGTCCATTTAAACTGCTAACTCCAACAATTCAAGATGAAAACAATGGAATTATTGTACTAAATTCTTCATAATACATCTAATAATACCCAGATGACTAGAGAACTATACAAATGCAACTCTAGAAAGTTAACTATACATTGTTCATTTAATACCTTATGGGAACCTATGTACATTTGAGGAGCAAAATAGTTTGAGAATAGATATTAGAAAAGCCTCCTTTTTATGAATTAATTTCAAAAATGGAAACATTATTGCATGCATTGACAAAGCTCCATTAAACACAGCCTTAAAATAATAACATTTATTGTGACTATGTTTTTATATTATTCTGCTTTACATTATGCTTAATCTCTATGACCTGAAAATATAGCTTTTTTTTTTTCTTTAGAATCAGATTTAGGGACTATGAAAACAGCACAAGGAGAAGAATAAATGTTAGGGTCAACTGCTTCTCCCTGAGCATCCACTACAGGCAGAAATGTCCACAAATATAGGATGGGTGTTCAAAGAGCACGGAGAAATCACAAAAACAAAATAAATGCCCACTACTGAGCAAGACCCAACACTCTGACCCTCCAGCTACACCTCGGGGACCTACAGGCTAACAAAGGCATCGTAAAGGTCCTTTTGAGGCCTCTTAGAGGCTTAAAGGTGTCATCTGCCCATCCTTTAAAGAAGCATGTAATTAACCTTTTGTAGAAGGCTTTGCCATAAGCCACGGATAATCTCCTGAGTTAGGGAAATAGACTCAAAACCTTTGATGCCCTTCTTTCTCTGTTCCAGATTTAGTTTCTCTGGGTTTAAGAACAACTGAAATGCATTAGATACCAGATGTTTAAGACTCGATTACAAATTTTTCTCTGTCATGTACTATATATTTCAATTTTCTTACCTTGATTTTCCTCTTGAAATTTATTTTCCACATCTCATTTTATATCTTGCTGCATGATATACAGTCTCTTCGGGGTGCTTCCAATCCTTTTTAGAATAAGAAGTTGCTATGGAATAAACAAACAAATATGTAATTTGGTTCAGCTCAAAACTCCCTTTCTTAAACATGGCTTGAAACTTCAGTGCATACTAATAATGTGCAGAAGGTTCTAGATAGCTCAGATATCTGATCATTCTCATCATACCTCAGGGGTGATGTGTTCATCAAACTCTTAATTTTATCCTCCCCAGTTGGGAAGGCAGTGACACTGACTGCCAATTGTGGAACACATCACGCCAGGTGCTGTGCTGAGTGCTTCAGGGAGATTATCTTATTTAATCTTTACAGCAACCCTAAAAGGTAGGTACTAGGAATATGCCTACTTTGATAATAAGGATGCCAACTGAGGCTCAAAGAGGTGAATAACTTCTCCATAGGTTCAGAGACATTAAGCGGCAGTGTGGTGCTTAACCAAGCAATAACTGATAATCACAGCAAAACCACCATGATGAGAAGGCCAATGTGAGGGGGAGGGGGAGGAAGAATCAGGGCCTGTGGCGTTTCTGTACATCTGAGCAATTCTCTTCAGCTGCATGGGAACTTTGCACAGAGCACTGAGATAGTCCATGACACAGAGCTCTCCTGGTTGTTCTTTGTGGTCAAAACACTGCTTCAGGCAGTAAAGGAACATGCTTGGTGCTTCGAGGGGAATGTGAAAGGAAATAGGAAATGCTCATCCTCATCCAAAAGACAGCATGACTAACACTGTCCCAAACATGAGTAGGATGTCCATACACCACTCCTCGGCCTATGTAGGCGAAGAGCCCAGAAAACGTCAAGGCTGAGTCAGCAGCTCCATACCTTCCTTCTGAAAACCTCAACCTCGACCTCTTACGTGGCTGTGCATTTCCAGCAACTCTTTTCTGTTTCACGGTTTAGTGTTTCAGGCGTCTGAACTGTGGAGATCAAAGGGACCTCAAGGGTCATTGAGCCCAGGCTCTTTATTTTGAAAATTCACTTAGGAAACACTACTTGTATTCAGTAGGCTCCTGTGCTTCTGGCTATGACAGTGTACCTAGATGCTATCATGTATTCCAATGTTTTTGTGTATGTGCTGATGTGCATTAAAGTTTTTGGAATTTTATCTGTGGGAAGTGTTGGAGACCAAGGTTGAGGTTAGTTTCTCTAGATATGACTTCCATTTGCTTCTTCCAGGCAGCTGGATATTCTTCCAATCTAGGACCACTTAAACAAACTTCTTGGCCTGAGGTTTTGGGGGGATGCAAATACATTGTGAATTCCAGCCCCACCTTTCTTTGAGGTCAGTGTTAATACTATGAATCCTCAAGAGAGATCATTAACCATTTCCCCTTCCCAACCCCAAACCAAGACTATCTTGGTTTGTGGGCTGTAGCCTTTTCTAGTTCATCCACCAAGGTCAACACTTTTGAGGGGTCCCTGTTTTACGAGAGTAACTCCCCACCTTGTGCAATGTCTAGGCTTTGCCTTCTGCTTCCTATGTAAAGCCAACTAAAACTGAAGCTCTAGGCACCAGAGGTTAGTGAATACCCTCAGGAGGCATTCCAGCCATCAACTTGGTTACTTGTCTGGAGCTGTACTTTTCATCAATGTGGCTTTTCTTTATTATCTAGTGAACTAGTTCTGCATTTTAAAGTATGTTTTTATGTTTCATTCAGCATTTTTATGATTTGTACCTGGAGGTTGATTTGGAAGAAATCTAGTCTGCCATAACACAGGAAGCATTTACATCACCAGGCTGTGCTTTAAAATATAAGTTTTATTATGGTCACTGAAAAGGTAGTTTGTATGCTCACAGATCCCAAGAGAAGGGGCACACCACGCCATAGGGGGGAAGTGCCAGGATTGCTCAGGAGGCAGAGGGAGAGGGGAATATTGTGTCAGGAGCCTTTATTGTGGTTTCTTCAGGAAGTAACTGGTGAGACTAGGACAGGCTAGTTTGAAGAATTCAGCAGGCTCTGTGGTGGAGGGGGTATTCCTGGTTGTTTGGGAGTCAGACCCTGGGATGATTAAGTTAGGGAAATAGGGGCTCGGAGTGGAAGAGCTCAGTAAAGTTGGTGGTTAGAAGTATAAGCTCTGTCTTGGTTGGTCTGCATAGGAAAGGCACATTCACAGGCAGGTTATTTGCTATCTCTAGGAATTAGCTGACCCTGAGACAGGCAGTCCCTCCAGGGTTAGCAAGGCTCCAAGATGGCAAAAGCATCAAAAATACAGAATAAAAAGACATGAAAAATAAGGCTAATAAAAATACATTAGTAAATAAGGTGTCATATATTTTTTACTAGTTATCTATATTCATTTCCATTTCATCTTCTGACAGAAAGTTACATATATATATATATATATATATATATATTCCCTGAGAAATTGAGCTTCATTTATGTTCAATTCAATTTATTGAATATTATTTGAGTATAGATTCTACCTCCACTGGAATCATGAGCTACAATTTTAAGAAACAGCATTGGGACAGTAAAACATTTATGAATCAAATTCACTGCATACTTTCAAATATCTTAGTTAACTGCTTCTTAGATGTTCATTTTTTCCCATTAATCTCTCCTGTTCCTTCTCACTATTTTTAAAAGATTCAAATTTAAAATTAAAAAATGAAGTCACAATTAAGACGTCTAATAACATATGGTCTTTGTTGGGAATTTGTAGGTATAGGTGATTGTAACTTCAAAAGATTCAAGTAGTACAACAAACCAACTTCCTCCTCGGTTTTCTACTTCAATCGAATGACAACTGCTTTTGATTATGAAGTTGAGAAGTTACCTAACATATTCCAGCCACATGTCAGATTTCCCTTCAATTGTATTTCTCCCCAGCAATGTTTTAGAAAAGCATTCTTGGAAGGCATGCTCCTTCTCATGTCTTGATTTGATCCATGCTGAGGATAAAAGCAGTCTCTCCTACAGTTCCATTGATTTTGCAGGGCATTGTGCCAAATTATCTGACAACACTTAAGCGATCATTATCCACATTTACATGTGGTCTAAGTGTGAGTCCTATTTGAGGAAGGCTTCCATGGAAAGGATGGAGACAATGTTTGTGAATCAATATATATAGTAAGACATACCTTTAGAAGTGACAAATCAAGACCACCATCCCTATGTTTGCCCAAGGGCGCAATCCCAGTAGGATGGGATTTAGCACAAATACCAGGACTGCCAATGTAGTTGAAGTATTCTCTTTCCCTGCAGTGACCCAGTGTCTCTTCAAAGTTACAAACATTAATGTGGATAAGGGTGGCGCTGGACTTCATGTATGAGATAAATTCTTGGCACTTGAGGCTTTAAATCATTTGTAACTGATGTGAGCAATCAGCCCCTTTTCCATCAGCAAATGAATATTTCCCAAAGAGAACATCTAACCCTCCCAGATTTCAGACAATACTACAAAGCTACAGTAATCAAAACAGAGTGGTATGGCATGAAAAACCAGACATATGGATCAATGGAACAGAATAGAGAGCCTAAAAATAAACCCACACACTTATGATCAATTAATCTTTGACAAAGGAGGCAAGAATATACAATGGAGAAAAGACAGTCTCTTCAACAAGTGGTGTTGGGAAACCTGGACAGCTATACGTAAATCAGTGAAGTTAGAACATTCCCTCACACCATACATAAAATAAACTCAAAATGGCTTAAAGACTTAAATATAAGACATGACACCATAAAACTCCTAGAAGAGAACAGAGGCAAAACATTCTCTGACATAAATCATAGCAAAGTTTTCTTAGATCAGTCTCCCAAGGCAATGGAAATGAAAGCAAAAATAAACAAATGGGACCTAATCAAACTCACAAGCTTTTGCACAGCAAAGAAAACCATAAACAAAATGAAAAGACAACTTACAAACAAAAAAGTTTGCAAATGATTCAACCGACAAGGGCTTAAGTTCCAAAATATACAAACAGCTCCTACAATTCAACAACAAACAACCCAATCAAAAAATGGGCAGAAGACCTAAATAGACATTTTTCCAAAGAAGGCATACAGATGGTCAAAAGATAGATGAAAAGATGCTCAACATCGCTAATTATTAGAGACATGCAAATTAAAACCACAGTGAGGTATCACCTCATACCAGTCTGAATGGCCATCATCAAAAAGTCTACAAATAATAAATACTGGAAAGGGTGTGGCGAAAAGGGAACCCTCCTGCACTATTGGTGGGAATGTAAATTGATACAGCCACTATGGAGAACAGTATGGAGGTTCCTTAAAAAACTAAACAAAGAGTTACCATATGATCCAGCAATCCTACTCCTGGGCATATATCCAGAAAAGACAAAAACTTGAATTTGAAAAGATAATGCACTCCAATGTTCATAGCAGCGTTATTTACAACAGCCAAGACATGGAAGCAACCTAAATGTCCACTGACAGAAGAATGGATAAAGAAGATATGGTGTATGCATGCATGTATGTGTGTGTGTGTGTGTGTGTGTGTGTGTATATATATATATATATATATATATAATGGAATATTACTCAGCCATAAAAAAGAATGAAATAATGCCATTTGCAGCAACATGGATGGACCTAGAGATTGTCATACTAAGTGAAGTAAGTCAAAGAAAGACAAATATCATATGATATCACTTATTGTGGAATCTAAAAAATGATACTAATGAAGTTATTTACAAAACAGAAACAGACTCACAGGCATAGAAAACGAACTTACGGTTACCGGAGGCAGGAGGGGGAGGGATAAATTAGGAGTCTGGGATTAGCAGATACAAACTACTATATATAAAATAGATAAAGGGCTTCCCTGGTGGCGTAGTGGTTGAGAGTCCGCCTGCCGATGCAGGGGACACGGGTTCGTGCCCCAGTCTGGGAAGATCCCAGATGCCGCAGAGCGGCTGGGCCCATGAGCCATGGCCGCTGAGCCTGCGCGTCCAGAGCCTGTGCTCCACAACGGGAGAGGCCGCAACAGTGACAGGCCTGCGTACCGCAAAAAAAAAAAAAAAAAAAGATAAAAAACAAGGTCCTACTGTAGAGCACAAAGAAC